ACACACACACACACACACACTCACACACATACACACACTTACACACACACACACGCACGTGCACATGCACGCACACACGCACTCGATGCGGGTGGTTGGAGGACGCATACTGGTAGGTCCTACTTCTTTACTTTCCCTCTGTTGTTTCTGTCGGTCTGTCTTCTTTTTTTCTCAGCGCTAAATGACCAATACTGTGTCGATGGGTTTCTATTTACTTATTAAAATTTTTATGCTCACGAAATCTTACAAAGAACCCAAAAAAGACTTGCTCTTTGCTTATCCATTTACGTAGACACATACCTATTTATCTATTTTCTCGTGTACAACAATTCATTTTAATATGTATACACCCGTAATCTGACAAAGAACACATACAGAACACGTTTCGCTCTTTGATTATCTACCTACGTATATATACCGAATTTAATACCTGCTTCGGAAAGTCCTGGTTCGAGCTTCGGTTCGGACATGGATTTTTTTTCACCCCCTCCTGCCCACCCAGCAGTAATGGGTTCCTCGAGTTGGGGAAGTAAAGACGGTGTGGAAAGGAACTGGCCACCCTACCACAATATGCCGAAGGCCCAGGAAGTTGTCTCACTAGCAAGACTATCCTAAATGTCAGGATCGGATGTGGGAACAACTGTAATATCTGCTAATCTATTTCCTCATCAGCAATAATAATATCAAACACCCATAATCGGACAAAGAATACAACACCCAAAAATACTCGATCTTTAATTATTTCTACATACAAATGCATATCTACTTACTTTAATATCCTGCTCATTCATTTATGTTCTCATCTGCATTCGTGGGTGGTTGGTGGATGCTCTGGTGTGGTTTGCTCCTTCTTTCCTACCAAACATCTATCGTCCTGACCTCTCCTCCTTTTTTGTGCTTGTTACTCTCCTGTAACAACTCTATTCTTCAGCACTTATATGACCTTATTGTGTTACAAGTGCCGTAAAACTTTTACTAAAACTTTTTTTTTAAAACTCACCTGCATCCACAGAGTATGAAACAGATGCGCTACAGGTTCTCCCTGATCATCAACGAGCTGCGCACGTGCGAGATGACACCCTACAAGACAACCCTGATGGCTTTCATCAACTGCATTTTGTGCGCCAGTGGGGAGCTGCATGAGAGGAATAAGATCAGGAATGAGTTTGTGGGTGAGTTCTTCCAGGATGTGTCGGGGGG